GTAAATAATAATTTGGGATCCTAAATTACTTATTTGCCTTCTCCCCAACTCTTTGACACAAAATTATTTTTAAAAAATTTCTAGAGTTTTAATAGTTTTTCCTAACTCTCTGTTTCAAGTCTTGTGATTTCTGTACTGTATTGTTTTATATATTGTTTAGTATATTTTATTCAATTACTCATACCCAACTGACCTCTGCTGACCATCCTAAAAACATTGAGCATTGCTCAATGTTTTTAGGAGCTTTTATTTGTCATTCAGATGGCTCTTTAACATTTGCCAACAGCAAGTTGTAACTACAAAGAAATTTTATACATTTTGAAAAAAGCAGAATAATTTCATGGCTTCTGAACAACTTTCTGCAGTGCATTAACCAATCAAATTCAAAGAATTGGCAGTGCATGGTACATATACAGTTGAATTATTTTTTGATTTTTTTCTTACTTGAAATCCATTATAAATTAATGACATATTTAATGGATTGCCATGTAATTGATTTCACTAATCTTAAGTTTAATTTCGAAAATACTCAACACTTCATATTTCTCCATTTCTTTTGCCTCATGTCCTACTTTTCTCACAAAATATAAGAATCTCTCTACTGGGATCCCTGCGATGTTAACATATCAAACTGCAACTGTTACCTGATCAAACTGCTACTGTTACCTGATCACAATGTAAAATATCAGGTGTAAAATTATGATGGAAAAAAATCTAGTCTTCTATAATTCAGAAATTATAAAATTTTGGACATACTTTCCTAAAATAAATTGGTTGCAAATTCCACTTGACCAATATAAATGCAGGGATTATCTTTTTTTGGATATTTCCGGAATTCCAGTTATTTTTCTCAACTTTTAGTTTTTTCGGATATCAAAAATATTTTCTATACATACAAGTTTAGGAATATATTTTATATATTTTTGTAATATATTTGTTTTTTAAACTTTTTCACTCATTACTCATACAAAAATTAAGAAAAGTTACAAAATAAATAAAAAAAGCTCAGCTAAAATCAAAATTAAAAGGAATATTAGGGAAAATATATTCCAGATATTTTACCCTACTGATTTTCTGGATTTTCAAAATATGGCCTGGATGATCTTTGTAAATGTTTCTTTTCATTTATTCGCATAATCATGCAGATATTGTTGCATAATCATGCAGATATTGTTGTTTTGTTGAATTTTGTTAATAGTTCAATCCATCTTAAATAGTTCCCATTTAGTTCCCATTGCTTTCATTCCCAATGATTTTATTATTGCCAAGCTAATCCTCTGCCAAAAACTTCACTACTTCAACAATTTGTAGCAAAATTTTTTTCCAAAAATCATTATTTTTATTAAGCTCTGTTGTTCAAACATTCTTAAATCATTCATGTTGGCTATTTAGTCAATTATCATAAATTTTTGTAGCTTCTTTGATGATACAAAGGATTTTTAAATTTTCTTGATCAAAATTAATACTTTCAGAGTAAGTATTTAGACTTAGAAGATGTATTATAAGGTTGTTAATAATACAAACACTTTGGTGATAGTAATAAGAAGACTGAGTAATATTTAGTGGGGTCTAAGCATCTCTAGAGCTTTTACAATTAGAACCACATTTTACAATTAGAACCACATTTTACAATAGTATGGAATTTCCAACTGGTGGTCTTCTGTAGACAACTAATTTATATTAAAATATCAGATGATTGTATTTACTATAAACATTTGTTAAAACACAATTAAACAGTGAAAAACATTATAAGTCCATAATTTTAATTTTTATAAAATATCATACCTAAATTGTGAGAAGTAGGAAAAGCCAAGCCCAAGTGGCCCTTGTCTAGTTTATCTGTTTCAAAACTTGCATCTCTTGTTTGTAGTTCTTTTTGTAACCAGATTTTGTAATGCAACTCAAATCTATCCTTGTGTCTATTTATTTAATTCCATTTTTTGTTAAACTGTTTAGGAAATAATTTGAAGTCTATGTCCGAGATCCCTGTAACTTTATATGCATCGGGTTGGTAACTGATTTGATTAAGTTGTTTTCCAAAGCATGAAACAAATTTTCATTAATTTCTTTATTTTTCATAGTGATTAGTAGAAGAAAATTTCAAGTTAAAAATATAATTATAGTTTTTTAAAGTTTTTAAATAGGATTCGTATTTTACATAATTAAAAACATTATTGATAATTAGCTGAAATAAGTTTAAGTTTATAAATAAAAAAACCACATTACTTAATAAAGTGGAACAGCATTATATTTTAATGGTTTTTGTAGTTTCCGTAATTGCAATTAATTATTTAGAGTTCATACTTAACAACAATGTGCTTAGAACAGTTAGAAATGACCAACAAGTTGTATGTTTAAAACCTGCTAAACTTTAATTGACGCAACTTTGCGCAAGATATTTTAATGAGAAACTTTCTGCAATATTAAGACACTGTAAAAAAGTTAATCCCGTAGTCGGGAAATGTGGGCGAAAAAAGATCTTGAACCATTTATGGTAACTTTTTATTATGTTTTTTAATACTTTTAACTGTCATATTTAAAGTTAAAAAAAATTCCTAAATGCAAGACTATTTTTATTTGTTAAATTTTCTAAAATAAAGCATGTACCCTGATATTGAGATTATAAAATCATAGATGAGTATTTGACTTAATGAAATTTTTTTCATGAAAATCCCAGAAAATTATTTTATTAAAAGTTAATCGTGTTAACTGAAAACAAAAACTTTCGTAAACTTTTAAAACGGAATTTAGATTGTTTAACTTTTTACAAAAAGGAATTTCTAATATTCAAAAAAGTTAATTTAAATAAATTAAAAAGCAAAAAAAAAAAGAAAAAAAATTGTTACAAAAATTGATCTCGTGAAAATTTTAACTAAAGAAAACATATTTGTTTAAATGCAAAAGTTGTCGTTTTTAAAATTTTATGTAAAAATTTATAATTTTTTTTAAACAAATTAATAAAAAAAAAATCTGGAAATTTCTGGAAAATTAAAGGAGTTTTAAGTGAATTTCCGGAATTCCCGGAAAAAACTCATCTATGTAAAATTATAATTATTAAAAAAAAAATTGTGCTTACGAGATGAAATTTAATTTTATGAGTAGGAAAAAAAAAAATTTAATGGATGAGCTTGAAAACTTTCCCTGGACTCCTAAAACAAAAAGTAAAATATTTAAACGACAGATTTTTTTATTATGGGGTATTTACTTTTAAAATATTGCAAAAAAAAAAGTTTCCACAAATACTCATTTTTGGCATTTATGCTGATGTCTCGCCCACTGTGCAATAAATATGTACCTATATAATTAGTAATTAAAAAAGTACAAGATAATTAAAAAAATTAAAACAAAAATTAAATTTTATGCGTAATTAATTTAAAGTTTACATAAATAATTTATTATAATAATATATTTATAATTAAAATTTTATATAGGGCACATTGGCAGAACGAATCAGAGCTGGTGGTGCTGGAATTCCAGCTTTTTTTACCCCAACAGGCTATGAAACTCTTATTCATAAAGGAGGAACACCTATTAAATATAACCCTAATGGAAGTGTAGCCATTGCTAGTAAACCTCGGGAGGTAAACAAAACTATTTAATTTACTTATACTTTTTTGCCACATATATTTTCAGATTTAATTTTACTATAGCATCGTGTGTTTAATGGTCAAAACTACATCATGGAGGAAGCCATTTTTGGTGATTATGCACTGATTAAAGCATGGAAGGCTGACACTTATGGAAATTTAATCTTTAGGTATGAAAATAGAATACCTTGTTTACTTTTAAAATTTGTAAATATAAATAATATAAAAACATTATTTAACTAAAGTAATCTGTGATTTAACAATTTGTTTATTATTGTATATAATATACAATAATTAATAAAATGTCAAAATTTTTATTCAAAATAAATAAAACAATTTCTACTTTTATATATATTTTAAACTTTAGAAAAACTGCACGTAATTTTAATGCACCAATGGCAAGAGCTGCAAAAGTAACAATTGCTGAAGTAATTTTATTTAAGTTTTATATAAATGTGCTTTCATATATATATATGTATATATATATATATATATATATATATATATATATATATATATATATATATATATATATATATATATATATATATATATATATATATATATATATATATATATATATATATATAAATTCAATTCATTTCATGAGAACTGTTAGAAAACATTGAAAATTTGCTTATTTTAAAAAAGACAATTTTAAAAAGTAGCTTTAGAATAGTTAAAAGTTATACAAAATAATAATATAAATTTGGTTCGTTTATTTTTAAAATACACTGATGTTATTCTACTTACCACCATTTTTTCAAGTTTCAAAAATTGTTTGTTTAATTGCTGTTCAATTTATTATACAGTTATTCTGCATTATACATGTTTTATGTTAAAGAAAAAAGATTCTTTATATGAGACTTGTACATATTAAATCCTTTTAATAATTAAATTTGTAGGTTGAAGAAATAGTCGAAGTTGGAAGTATTTCACCAGAAGAAATTGATATTCCAGGGATTTATGTTGATAGAATTGTTCAAGGAAAAGATTATGTTAAACGAATTGAGGTTTAAAAATAATTAATAAAATTAAGTTAAAATAGTAATAGTTATTAAAAATATAAAATTTATATTTTTAATAATTATTAATTTTTTAAAATAATATATATTGTTAATAACATTATTATTATTAACAGTTTTATAATATTTAATTTTATTTAGTTATAATTTAATTAAAAATTGATATTTAATTATTGGTGAAAAATAATGAAGAAATTTATGTTGGCTGTTCTTTTCTACCAAATTGTAGTAATTTTTTTTGTTTTTTCTATTTAAATTTTGAATTATTTAGGAGTGAAGAAAAAAGGCTTTTAAAAATTTTTTAAAAATGTAAATGAATTTAAATTTTAAAAATTTTTTAAAAAATGTAAATGAATTTAAATTTTAAAAAATTTTAAAAAAATTTTAAAAAATGTAAATGAATTTTACTTTGCCTGAGCCTATAAAATTCTAGCGTACATCTTGGTCTATGAATTATTTTTCATTCATTAATATCAAGTTCATTTAAAAGTATCATTTAAAAAATTAAACATTAAACTAGGGTTGGCAAAAACCCGGGGTTTTTTTAAAAAATCCGGCCTAGTGGGTTATTTTGGGTTTTATTGGGTAAATTTTGTTTTTTTTTTGAGTTTTATTTTTATTTCCTCTCTGTAAAAAATGATATTGAAAATTTGTTTCATTTTCTACTTTAACTTTATTTAAAATATATTTTATATATTGTTATTTAATAATTTATAACAAGAATTTTTTAAATTGTTTTGAAAAAGATTTTTAAATATAATTTAAAACTGTAATAGAAAAAAAAAATTTCACGTTAAATCTATACATATTGATTTATTTTTAATTTAAAATAATTATTCTATATAATTAAAAATGTCAGAAATAAAAAATGAGAAATGGGAAAAAGAAGGCTAGAGAATGGGAGGTAGTAACTGAAGTTTGAATTAAACTTGAAGTTCAAATGAACAAACTTGTTTCTCCGCGCAGTGGTCTTGTTAATAAAGATTCGTGTTTAGGATTAAAAGAGTTGAGAGAGGATTGTAACCACAATTAGGTAACCTCCTTGACTGTAGTGGGCTTCTCTGGCCACTACTACTCATTTAAATTCACCTTGGTGAAATAAGAAGGAGGAGGTGAATAACATAAAAGATTAAAAAATTTTAATTGATAAAAATATTTGAATAAAAATTGTAATAATGTATTTCCAAATAATGATTCAAATATTAGTAAACCTCTGATAGCTGTTATTGTTAGTTATAATAGTTAATAATAATAGTTAATAATATAATTTAGTTAATAATATTATAGTTATAATGTTTAAGTTAGTTGTAATAGTTCATAAACTTATATCTTAAAATCATAAAATATCTTTGAAAAAAAAAAACAGATTTTCTTATGTTTTATTGGGTTTTTTTAAGCAGGTTTTATTGGGTTTTATTGGGCAGGTTTTTTAATGCCAATCCTGCATTAAACTAAATAATATCTAAAATTTATCAAAGTTTTTATAAAGTATTATATCACCAAAAAAAAGTTGGAATGAAATCCTTGTTTGTTTAGGTCTATAGGTGTGTTGGCAAAAGGTCAAACATTATTTGATATTTTCTGGTAATCTGGTCTAGGCTCATGTTTTTACTTTCAAATCAAAATAAAGAAAGTTGTTTTATACAGTCTGCTTATTTCATTTAAATAACTCAGCAATTCATTTTAGACTATATTGTAAAAAAAGTCTGTCTTAGTATTTTTTCTGTACATAAATTTGAATTTTAATAATAAAAGATTATTAAATTTATTGATTCTAGGTCCAAGTAATATAGCAACTCAAGCCAACATTCCTTAAGATTCAGGAAATGTTGCTTTAATGGTAACTGATAATATTATCTCTTATGATTCTGTAGAGCGTTTCAACTGCAGTTGTTCAAGATGTAGTTATGGAATCCATCAAATTAAACCTCTCAACTGCAATTAGAAGAATAAAAAAAGCAAATATTACCAAAGTAGATATAAAAAAAGTCCATTTATCTACATTCCTGTGTATAATTCATTTTGATGCAAAAATAGTATTTTGAAATATTTGAGACAATTACAGGAAAAAAATTAAAATGCAAACAACTAACTTTACTATTAAACATCATGGTGAATTGCACTTGTTGAGTATGCCTTCTTTACCTAATCTTTAGATGACGATCAATATAAAAGAGTGATGAAGTTGCTTGATGATTATGATATTAAATTACATGTTGGTGAATTGCACTTTGATGCAACATCTACAAATACTGGCATTAAATACATTCTCCAACTTGCTTGCAGACATGATGTGGCAGAGCTAAGAATATGCCATTTTCATAAAAATGTCACTACTGAAGAAAAGCTATGACCAGAAAATCTTTTTTTTCTAAAGATTGAGAAACAAGTTCAAAGATCAAGAGTTTCAGTCGTGATTACATATTAAGGTTTGATACAGTCCTGAAAACATGTTAATGTTTGATTGGTCATTAAAGGCGGATTTTGTTGTGAAAAAGCAGCAACAGATGCTCTTGAGTAATGCAAAAACTATGTTAAAAAGAAAAACATTGTTAGAAGACAGAAAAGAACTAGCAGAGCTTGTTGTTATTTATCTATCAAAGTTTATAATATTTTATTACTAAGTTACAGCTACCATTTAAACAATTAGTTTTTTTAATAGAAGACTAAGAAGTAAAGACTCAAGTAAAACAAAATGTTGAGTTTGTTGTTTTTATGCACCATGGAATTCGCAAAGCCACAATCCTTTTAAAGCACCATCATGATATTGCTTTACATTGAATGACTCATTGTAAGGATGATTAACCAGCCAAAGAAGCTGTAGAGAAAATGGTTATGTCAATATTAAAACATTCTTGGTACTTAGACTCAACCATGATAACTCTTTCACTCCTAGATTATAACATTTCAGATAAAAATAAAACGCTATTTGCAAAATTTTCTATTACAAAATGCTATCTTTAAATTCATCTGATTACAAGATGGAAAGTAAGGCAAGGGTGGATATTTAAGAAAACATTCTATACAAAAGCTAGTATTCCACCAAATTTAGCAGTTGACGAGTATTCATACTTTATGTTTGCAGTAAATGGCTTTATAAAATAAATAGTTCACAATTCTTTATTCCTTCCTCCATCCTATTGGCAAATTTTATCATATTACAAATAGTTTTTAGCTTATACAAAAACTTATTTATTGTATATTGTAATTGCAGTTATTGTAAGCGATCACGCAAAAAGAAATGTAGGTATCTTGTCGGAGTTTATCCATAATTGTATTATTTAAGAAGAAAAACCTATGAGACATGTAACACTAGGCAAAGTTTATTAAGTATGTAACTAATTAAAGCAATAAGCAAGTCACCAAATACTCAGATAAATATATATTTCAAAAGATTTTGTAATATAACTACAAAACACAAAATTGGAAAATACTCAGTAAAATATAAAGATATATATATGGTTTTAAATGCCAACTATATAAAGTTTAGAGCCGTTTTATTTTTAATTTTAATAATACAGATTTTCATTTGACTCTTCCTCAACATCATAGAAAAACGTAGAAATTTGGCCTTTATTTATATATATATATATTATATATATATATATATATATATATATATATATATATATATCCTTGCAACAGATCTCACCGCCTGCACTCTACGTTATGCTAGTCAATATTGCAATATAATAGGACTACACTACAAAAGCCAAAAAACCCAATCTCTATCCCAGTTTTTGAAAACAGCTCCAACATTCTTAGATCTCGTGAGGGTGGTGAGGAATGCGCGTGGTGTGACCATAAACAGATATGTAAACATATATAAATATAAGGTACCCTTACATTAGAAGAAACAAACTTGTACACATGTACGTATGCGCGTGTGTAAATAAACAATTATAATGTGTAGAAATAACAAAAGGCGAATAGAAAAAAGTAATTAATAATTAATAGTAACTTACCGTTTCTTTTATGGCTGAAATATGTATTATAAATATGATAAGTAAATACCACTCATAAGCATTGATACTAAGTTAAGATGTTTTGTCGTTAGTACGAAAGTAGTTAAACGAAAGTATGATAAAAAATATATAACTCTAAATAGTATGTTCTCATATAAATCTTGCCTGGTAAGTAGAGACAATAGCTATCACACAAAACAGACTTAGAGTAATTAAATAACGATTAGCCAGAGATAAAAAAATACGAACATCAAATCAGTAGGCAGAAAATAATAAGGAAATAAAAAGATAAGACAATATATGCGATTTTAAACTAATAGCTTATAACCACTAAAAAATGTAACGTTAAAAAACAATATTGTTGACAAAATGACCAAAGGAACGTTAGTGAAGACTGTATAATGCAAACCACAACAAACTAACTTAGCGAAGTCAAATCGAGAAAATTAGATAGAAACAAAAAAACCTAACGAAATCGTGATTAGTCTAAACTTATCTAATGAAAATGTTCAGTATATTCCAACCAAGAATACATTTGTTATAAAAAATACGCTAATACGTACTTTTGTGTAAAATTTTCGCACTGTTATACTTCTCACAAATATACGGCCTCATTCACACATAACACAAATCTGAATAAATATACAAGGATAAGGTAAAATAAGATTATGAACAAAAGTATATAATAAAGAACAAATATTTGGTATACTGGTTTTAGAGGCCGTTGATGTCTACAGGTGTGATGGTGTAGTGCATTAGTATGTACCGTTTGGTTGTCTAGTATGGTCTCGTTATGTCTTCGTTCACTTTCAAATCATGTGAATAGAAAGCTAAACACACTCACTCCTTGCGCTTATGGGCTAGCACATCAGAGCCAGACATGAGACCTACAGAATGGATTTCAATTGATCGAATGCACACATTAGTCACCGTAGGCCACAAGCCATCACTCTTAGCCAAAAGAGCTACTGCCCCGTGCTGGTGTGGAATGATGTGCTATGAAGTGAGATTTCAGATCCGAGCACATAGTCAGCGAGCGCTGATCCGATCTGCATTGTGGAGCTTCCGACTGAACATGTGCGTGAGTGTCAGCGTAGTCATTAGGTTATTGATCGCCGTAACCACATCCCGCGGGATAGCCTAATGTTTGTTTTGTCGTTGTGGCGTACATTGGAAAAAGTCGGGGCTCACCAGCCACAAAGAATAAATTTTTTGTTTATGCGACACAATGATCGCAACAAGTGACCAACGGAGCCGTCCAGTTTCGTAGACCTGAGAGATGTGATAATAAAAACAGTTAAAAGATGGTGTCATTGAATAAAAAATAAAAAATCATAAGAAAATACAAAATGAGTGATAAGACTTTTGTGAAGGTAAAGAACGAAGTAAATGCTTGGAGGGCAAGGAAAGAACAACTAACACTCTAATCACTCTGTATGTAGATCATATGTAACAAAGAACAAATATTTGATATACTGATTTTGAAGACTGTTGATGTCTACAGGTGTGATGGTGTAGTGCATTAGTACGTACCGTTTGTCGTCTAGTATGGTCTCGTTATGTTTCCGTTCACTTTCAAATTGTGTGAATAGAAAGCTAAACACACTCACTTCTTGCGCTTATGGGCTAGCACATCAGAGCCAGACGTAAGACCTACAGAATGAATTTCAATTGATCGAATGCACACATTAGTCACCGTAGGCCACAAGCCTTCACTCTTAACCAAAAAAGCTACTCCCCCGTGCTGGTGTGGAATGATATGCTATGAAGTGAGATTTCAGATCCGAGCACATAGTCAGCGAGCGCTGATCGGGCGTGCATTGTGGAGCTTCCAACTGAACGTGTGCATGAGTGTCAGCGTAGTCATTAGGTTATTGAGCGCCGTAACCACATCCAGCGGGATAGCCTAATGTCCGTTTTGTCGTTGTGGTGTACATTAGAAAAAGTCGGGGCTCACCAGCCACAAAGAATAAATTTTTTTGCATATGCGACACAATGATCGCAAAAAGTGACCAACGGAGCCGTCCAGTTACGTAGACCTGGGAGGTGTGAAAATAAAAACAGATTGAAGATGATGTCATTTAGGTAAAAAAACATAAATTAATGTAAAGATTATTTAGTAGAGGAATAAAAGTTAGCAACTCAGGAAAAGAGGAATAAAAACTCACACTCTAGTCATCTTTTAGCAAATGATAAAACAATGATCTATGAGTAAACAAGTCAATAAAAATCCGCTGGTTTATAATGGTATTCATAACTAAAATAATCGCACCATACAAGTGTCTAATAAATGTGGTACTATATATGTTCTAAACTCTAGATAAAAAATTGAAAACTGATAATCACCTGTGTTACATAAAAATATATAAATGTCGTTAATGTAACAAATTCATAATAAAAAGCTCACAAAGTGCAAAAATACATGAGTTTAAGAGGTAAGAAAATGTTGGTGCTATAATAACCAATTAGAATTAAGTAGTGGATAAATGGTGATCCCCCTCCTCAGGAATGCACTGCGATCACCAATGACATTTCGGAGAGCCCGAGACCTGCACAAATGCCACTCGTCAGGGGTGTGTCCTTGCAACAGATCTCACCACCTGCACGTATGTAATTAATAAGTATGTAATTAATAACTAAGTATGTAACTAATTAAAGCAATAAGCAAGTCACCAAATACTCAGATAAATATATATTTTAAAAGATTTTGTAATATAACTACTAAACACAAAATTGGAAAATACTCAGTGAAATATAAAGATATATATATGGTTTTTAATGCCAACTATATAAAGTTTAGAGCCGTTTTATTTTTAATTTTAATAATACAGATTTTCATTTGACTCTTCCTTAACATCATAGAAAAACGTAGAAATTTGGCCTTTATTTATATATATATATATATATATATATATATATATATATATATATATATATATATATATATATATATATATATATATATATATATATATATATATATATATATATATATCCATATAGTGTAGTCGAAAGTGCATTTTAATGTAAAAAAAGTCTCTTACGACTACAATTTTAATCACCTCGTCTCTTAAGCTGTATTTGATTGTCGTCGAAATGTCAAAGCAATTAAATTAATGCGGAAGTACATTAAATTTTATTGTTTTTTAAAAATTTTTTAAAAAACCGCAATTATAACGACTAGAAAGTTTTTTTTTATTAGTGATGTTTTTGTTTTTATTTTATTAAAAAACATTTTTAAAACATGCGTAAATGTTGCTACATCGACTATCTTATAGCCTGACTCGCAACGGACTGCTGCTACATCGACTGACAAATAGCCTGACTCACAACAGAGTGCTGCCACATCGACTGACAAATAGCCTGACTCGCAAAGGAGTGCTGCTACAACGACTGACAAATAGCCTGACTCGCAAGGGAGTGCTGCTACATCGACTGAGGGTTTGGTTTGGGCAGGCAGTCTATCATTTGAAAAAAAAAAAAATTTTAAGTTTTTAAACTTTTTCTGGTCTGGTTTAATAACGCGCTCTTTAAAACTACAGTTTATGGGAAACTCTATTCAACTACTATGCAAGAGTATATATATATGTATATATATATATATATATATATATATATATATATATATATATATATATATATATATATATATATATATATATATATATATATATATAATATTTCAAATGTGTCTGTAATTTATTTTGATTTTCTGTTTTTTTTTTCTCAATCTCGTGATTTATTAAGAAAAAAGTCTATGTATAAAATACAAGTAAAAAAATATATATATAAAAAATATGTCATAAAAGAAAGTTTAGTTTTTTAGATATTTGATCATTTATTGGATATAAACTAGTTGGAAACCTTGATAAGTTTAATGTTCAGTAGCATTGACATTATATATGATACTTTGAGTTTTTGTTGAGAGATTTTCGTTCCTTAATTATACCTAATTATTTGTTTTAGTTAATTATACTTAATTTTTCATTGTTTTTTGTTATTAGAGACTTAAAATAAGAGAGGATAAGTCATCTACAAAACCTAAATCTGATGGTGACTTGGTTCGTGAAAGAATCATTAAACGCGCTGCTTTAGAATTTAAAGACAATATGTATGGTATCTTTTCTATTAGTGTTGAATAAATATAAAGGATAATAAAACAAAAACTTTAATGAATATATGGTTTATTATATATTAATTTATTTACTTCGGTTTGAGCATCCTAAATATAGAATTCATAATCTTTTGATAATATTGTTATTAACTATGTTGGAATGTTAAAGCATTAATGTTTAAATGTTGCAAATGTTTTACAATAGTAAAACATTAGCAACAAACATAAAAAGTTATTTATTGATATAGTTTATTGTTATTTATGAATTGTTTGTTGTTATTTCATAAATAATTATGATTAATATTTGGTTGTTTTTCTGTTGTGCAGTCTTTTATTTTTTTATGTAAACAGTTATTTGAAGGGAACTGTTCCCTTTACTGCAAACTTTATGAACTCTTTTGTATTTCTTATAGTTCAATAATTGTACAGTTTTAAAATAAAACCAATACATGTTGTAAACGTTCTTGAAATCTTCAAAATTTTAGAGAATTAGTTTTTTTACTGTATAATAATATACTTTTTTGGCTCGCAAGATATTTTGACAAATATTTGTCTAATAAATTTAGTTGTTTTTGGCTTCTCGCAAGATATTTTGACAAATATTTGTCTAATAAATTTAGTTGTTTTTGGCTTCTCGCAAGATATTTTGACAAATATTTGTCTAGTAAATTTAGTTGTTTTTGTCTTCTCGCAAGATATTTTGACAAATATTTGTCTAATAAATTTAGTTGTTTTTGGCTTCTCGCAAGATATTTTGACAAATATTTGTCTAATAAATTTAGTTGTTTTTGGCTTCTCGCAAGATATTTTGACAAATATTTGTCTAATAAATTTAGTTGTTTTTGGCTTCTCGCAAGATATTTTGACAAATATTTGTCTAATAAATTTAGTTGTTTTTGGCTTCTCGCAAGACATTTTGACAAATATTTGTCTAATAAATTTAGTTGTTTTTGTCTTTTCGCAAGATATTTTGACAAATATTTGACTAATAAATTTAGTTAAATAAATTTGACTAATAAATTTAGTTGTTTTAAATAAAAATTGAAAATATTTCTTTTTAAGCAAAGTCAAATATATTTTACTTAAGTAGAAGTGAAATTTAGCAGTTGTATTGATAATTAGGTGTTGTTAGATAATTTATTTTGGTTAGATAATTAGGTGATAATTGAATCTTATTAGATAATTAGGTGTTGTTAGATAACTAGGTGCTGTTTGATAATTTGTTGTGGTTAGATAATTAGGTGTTATTATATAATTAGGTGTCATTAGATATTTTAAGTATTTTTGATGCTTCAAATAAAATAATAGATATTTTTTAAAAATTTTTGTACTGAATTATCACTTAGCTTTAAAAATCTGGAAGAAAAAAAAGTTTGAAAACAAAAAAATGAATCATGAAAATAAAAAACTATTTTATTTTGAATACTTAAAGAAATCTTTATGAAATTGTTTTGTATATATTTATTTTTGACTATTATATATAACATGTATTAAAAATATATTAAATGAATAAGTAATATTTTTTTTAATTTTTGATGTCACAAAAGATTTTACATAAAATTATTGTTTCATCTATTGTAAAGTCTTTTGTAACATCAAAAATTTTAAAAATATTCTTTTTTCATTTAATACATTTTGTTGGAAACTTTTTCTTTAATAAAGCTTTTAGCTAACCTTGGTATTGGAATGCCAATGCTAGCAAGTAATTATATCAGCCCAAATATAACAGTACATTTGCAGAGTGAAAATGGTATTTTAGGTTTGGTAAGGCTTTGTTTTGTTTAGTTTACAACCTTATTTTTTATTTGATTCTTTAATTTTGTTTCTGTTTTTATTTCAAGATAATCTCTAAATCAAAAGATGTCTAGGTTATGTAAAAACCAATACACGAGTTAGATATCTTTTGATTTACAGAATATCTTGTTCTAGTGACCAACAACAGGACCTAGACATCTCTTGAGTTAAAGAGTAACTTGATTTAGAGACCAATTAGCAATTGTATTTATCACCAAAAAGGGCATGAGCATTATGCTGCATTATTATGCCCATATTTTAGTGTTTAAGTGTTGTGTTGCTATTTGACTGATAGTTTCTTGCAAAGCAAAACAAATTAAAAAGCCTCTACATATATTATAATATTTTGTCAACATCTTACATAAAATTTTTAAATAATCATTGAAATAAGAGTTAACAATGCAAACGTTGTATGTTAAATTACTTTTATTCATTATTTTTTAATGTTAATCCTACACAATCCTTTTAAAGAAACAGTTAACTCCTGGTTTTAAAAGAAAAATGCTGCTTACGTCATTTTCTTGTAAACTTTGACACATTTAAAATTTTGTGGTTTTCTACTTTTCTAATTATCAACACAGGCAGCTTTTCACCAACCCCATTTCCTTTATTTTGCTAGGTCGTACACTGTTTAGATAAAAGGATTTCATTTGAAGCTGTTGATAAAATAAACCAAACTCATCAGCTTTGAAAATTTCCCATAGTTCATTCCTTGAGAGGATCATGAGTATATGGTTTTGCTCCCAACTGGCTCTCATTTTCTCTGTGCATTACAATTACTCAGAAATAGTTTAAAAAACAACTTTATGTTTGTTTTTGCACCAATCTAGTCACCTTTAAGCCTTAAAATGCATTATGTTGAGTTCTTTTTAGGGTTCGCAATCCCGGGATCCCGGGCTTTTTTATAATCCCAAAAACCCGGGGTTGTCTAATATCAATCCCGGGATTCCCTATACGATCAAGCAAAACAAAGGGGAAATCAAAAAATATATAAAAATGACAACAATTTATGCGCATCAATATAATAATTTTTATTTAGTATAATAGCGCAGAAAGTAATTCTATTTTCAGTTATTCTGTTCTGTAATTCTGTAAAATAAACTTTTTTAAACTGAAAAAAACAAACATGCGTTTCTTACAAGGTCTACTCTTAAAATTAAAACTTAAATAAGCGTGGCATATGTGGATTTTACAATTAAAAGTAACTCAGCTGTTTGGAAATATTTTCTACGAGAAGAGAGAGGGGAAACAGCGATGTGTAAATTCCCAAACTGCAAGAAGATTTTTAAAATCTGTGGTGGTTCAACAAAAGGACTTCATATATACATGTTGTCGGTGCATAATGTGAAAAACAAAAGTCCAACCCAACCTAATATTACCGGAGAAAACACATCAGATAAACCACCAAAAAAGAAATCTAAACCATTTTTTTTTTTTTTTAATTTTAATTCACCTCCTCAAGGCCGAGAAGGCCACTACAGACGAGGAGGCTACTTACAAAAATATATTAAGGCTGAATTTGGAAAACAAGTTCTTTAATTATGGATTAATTAAAATAAATGTCTTTAATTATGGATTGCAAAACACGGTGAAGCAGCCTTCTGTTAATTCTTAAACAATTTTATAAAGTAAAAAATTGTATACAAAAATCATTAATTGATATTTACACAGTGCAAGATAATTCTATAGCTCTGTCGCATGATTTGACAATATTGTCAGACATTACAACTTTAGTTCCTATTCAAGCAACGGTTGAAGCATTTTGTCGCCATGATTCTAACCTATTTACAGCTGACATTGCTATTAATTTTATGCTTACAAAATTAAAAGATGCTGACAATAACACAAGCAAGGAAATGCGTACAGCTTTAATGGCTCGTATACATGAACACTGAATTGATATGAGTAGACTTCTGCAACAACATAATAGTGTAATAGCATAACAGTCGAAGCTTTGTTGAAGTCGATGAAGAAATAAATACAGTGCCTTCTTCATTTAAATGTTGAAAACTGTTGGTAGAATTGCTGGAAAGATTAAATGATTCCAATCCTGCTTTAGTAACAGCATCAGTTGAGTCTATGCTGGATTTTATTGAAGAACCTGAAACTGAAAATAGCACTTTAAGTATTGAAGAGAAGCTTGATAGTGTAATTAAAGAAGCACAATCACCGATGCAACCATTTAGACATAAAACACTGTTATCGAAAATTCAAAAAAAAATGACGTTATTTGAAAATGGTGGTACACGTGGTGATTATTTAGAAAGAGTTTATTCATTTCTGGGCATTTCCATTTCTGTGCGTGATTTTTTCTTTTTCTTTGTTTTAGCTATTAAAAGTTGGGATTTAAAGCAATATGCATACTTATTATGATTAGCAATATGCATAATTATTATGATACATACGTATTATGATTTTTTTAAAATATTTATAGCAAAAATGTTTTTATCATTTTTGGGCTACCTAAATAAGTTAAATATATATATTTTGATCATTTTATTTTTTTTGCGTAATAATATCGCTACAGTTTAAAAATAAACAACAATTTTCAAAACGCTATCCTTTAGTTAGAAATAATTGATGACTGCCATTTCTCATCGGAAATATATTTAATATGAGTTGTAGAAGTATAATATTTCACTTGAAATACTCACAAGCAATTTATTTTTATTAAAATATCTACATGAAATTAACAAATTCGCAACTTCCGTGCGTGATCATTCACGAACTGCATTTAAGCGATTGTTGTGACTCTATAATACATAATGCAATCTTGTAACTTTCTGGAAAGCTTTACTAATGTTTAAAGCATTTTTTTATAAATATATATAATGCTGAAACTTATATTTTCTGAGAAATTAAAGTTTATTTATCTAGTAACTAAAGTTTGCATTTTTCTGTTTTGTGCGTGATTCCGCTTCAAACTTAATTTATTCTTTGTTAACATTACTAATGTATACAATTTTTTGTTTACAAAATGCTTATATAGGTTGGAAATTAAATGAGATCTAACTGGAGGTTGACAGTTTTATTACTATGAAAATAATAGACAAAACATATATGAATTTCCGTGCATGATTTTTTGGAAATGCCCTTCTAATAATGGTGAAACTGACAAGTGTCAAGGCTGAGCGGGCATTTTCTTCCGCTGGACTGTTTAATAATAAAATTTGTAACAGGTTAGGCGATGAAACATTGGACGCGTTGTGCTTCCTGAAGTCACATTTCAAAGTACATAAAACATTATATATTTCCTTATTTCTAGTAAAATTTCTTAACATTATCTTAACATTATCAATCTTAACATTAAATAACATGATTTCTTCTATGCATGTAACAATGTAATGCTAATAGCATCATTTATAAAATATATTTTTGTTTAAGAGTGTACTGTTTTTATTCAATTAATACTATATAGATGCTATATCTGTTTTTCAATACCGGGATCCCAGGATTGATGTTTCTCATTCTCGGGATTGAGAAAGACCTCCGGGTTTGCAAACCCTAATTCTTTTGCAAAATCTAAAGCTTTTTCCTTAATGATTTGTCCACCGATTGAAACATTTTGTTAATAGGCATTCATATTCATTCATAGATCATTCTTGTCAAACTTATCTTTTGTCTCTTTGCTCCAAATTGGCCAGACTCATACTTGCTGATTATGTCTTTTTTATGCTTAATCCAGTAAGTTAAAGTGTTTTAAGAACACTAAACTTTCAACATTCATTCAATTTCAACAACATTCTTTTTATTTAGACCTTTAACCAAATTGTTAAGTGCAAGATATTTTTTCTTTGGTTGTCAGGATCATCTTCTTTTGAGCAGACGTCATTTTTAAATTTTTACTGCACTATGTTGAAATATGTTTGAATTTTGGTTATATTTTGAAATGCAATGCAATAGTATCCTCAATTGAAAAAAATAACTGATGAATATTTGCATAAGTTTGCTAGGGAAAATTCACGGAATGAAAATTGCTTCAAATAAGTGTCAGTTTGAATAACCAAGAGTTTACTGTATATAAAATAAAAAAAAGTGATTGCTGCCCCCAATTCTTAGTTGATGTACCAGCGCTTACTTGCATTTTTATCTAGATTGTTGATATATGTACTGAAACCCTCACAGCTAACTTTCATTTAACAGTTCAATTTGACTCAATATTATTAGATAAAATATTTTCATGATATTATTTATCAATACTTTATGTATTATTAAAAAAAAAATCATAATGCTGATGACAGCTTCTTGTTTGTTTTAAACTATTTTGTTGTGACAAGCGTTCCAGGTTTAACTTATTCAAAAATTTTCACTATTTCTCTATCTATATAACTGGAGCAATGGTATTTAAAAGGTTCCATCTTTCTACCCAGCTGCTAATCCCAGTTGTTAAAAATATTATATCACTGTCAAACATTGTTTTTCTTTAAGGGACCATTTCCCAGGGAAGGTCAACAAGATCCAGACTTGATAAATGCAGGTAAATGAAAAAATTTAAAAGCTATAATTTTAATTTTTTTTTTTTTTTTTTTTTAAAGTAAATTTTTAAAATATAATTATTTAAAAAGCTATAATTTTTTAAAGTATTTTTATTGTTGTTAAAAATTTTAAATATATATTTATATTGCTAAATATAAATTTGTTTTTAAGGGAAGGAAACTGTTACCGTGCTCCCTGGTGCCGTATATTTTGGAAGTGATGACTCTTTTGCAATGATACGAGGGTAAAATCTTTTTAATACTTTAGTTTTTACATTTTGTTCAGTTTTTTTTTATGATTATGAAAAATATAAAAATTTAATCAATTTTTATTAACAATTGTAAAAACAATATTTTAATTTTTAGTGGTCATGTAAACATGACAATGTTAGGAGCAATGCAAGTTTCACAGTTTGGTGATCTGGCCAATTGGATGATTCCGGTTGAATTTATTTTTTATTACTCATTTCGTTAATAATTTTTTAATAAAATAATATAAAATAATTGTCTGTAGCTATAAATAGATCAATTATCTGTAACTATAAATTAATAATTTATAGTTATAGATAATTGTCATTATCTGGATTATATAAGTCTATAGTTTTATATTAATGATCCTTTTTTTACTTATGAAAAAAAATTAGTTTATAATTTTATTTAAAATTTATTTAAAATTAATTTAATGAATGTTAAAGAATTAACAAGAATTTTATTCTAAATTAATATTTTTAAAGGAAATTTATAGTAAAGTTGTAATAGTTATATTAATATTAATTTTAAAAAATAGAAAACTTAAAAATTACAAACATGAACATTTAAATCAATTGATGATAAAGTTTCAGTTTTCTTTAAATGTTTCAGTAAATAGCAAAACAAGTTAATTTTGTCAACTTTTGATACTTTTGACCAAGAAATCTTTTTTATATATATACGTAATTCCTGATATTTCTGTTCATTTTTAGTTTTTCCAAAAATTTGAAAAGTTTTCCAGAATTAACTTACCAAATTAATTACACAAGTTGTTTTTTTATAGACTACGCAACAACTTTAAAGAGGATCTATGATATATTTAAAAAAACAAAGGTTAACTCGGTTGATGTAAACATTGCTGTGTATAGTTAAATAAAGGAGTTGGGACATCTACACTCACTGGGTTTATCTCTCCTTAGTTTCCTCAATTTTCATAATGGTTTATTACTTAATTATACTTAAATGATCTAGATTAAGAGTCGCTTTGTACCATCAGCTCTTTAGCTGTAGTGAACCCCCCTAACTTAACTGATAGTTAATTCCAATTAACTATCAGTTAAGATGTCACATATTGTTTATTTAATGAAGAAAGAGCACATTTGTAAATGACATTATTCAATAACAACCCTCGTAATTAGGAAAAAGGAAGTCAGCAAAAATTTGCCCAACTCATTCTTTTAGAGGTCGACATCAGGTCGGCAAAAATTATTTGAAACAAAGGTCTGACCGTAAAATAGAAACGAGGTTGGCAAAAAATTGCCGACTTCAAACACTTTCAGGTCGGCTTTGTCAAATGCCGACTTTAATTAAGAGGGTTGCAATAACCATTTTTTGACTACTTCACTTACGTCTTTATTTGTTAGTGTTTTATTATATTCTTGCACAAGCCTCTCTAACAAAATCAATTTTTTCCAACCTTATTTATTATTTTATTTATTACTGTTTATTTTTATTTCTTGATTCTAAATAAATAGCAATAAAAAGATAAAGAGAGAGAAAATTTATAAAATTAATTTTATAAAATCATTATAAAAAAATTACGCCTAACAACTGAATTCAACCACTTTACAATTTACAAGTTACTTTATAGAATAAGGAATTTGTCACAGTTACAATTTGTTTTTTTTGTTTTTTTTTATCTTAAGTATTTAACATTTTAAATTAAATCAGATAAGTACAAATGAAAGACAAGTTTAATAAAAGTTTAATTTTTAATTTATATATTTTTAAGTTTATATATTTTGTTTATTTATTTTAATTTATATATTGATTCGTTATTTCAGGGCAAAATGGTTAAAGGTATGGGTGGAGCAATGGATTTAGTTTCAAGCCCTGGAACTAAAGTTGTTGTTACCATGGAGCATACTGCTAAAGTTAGTTTTTAATTTGTTATAAAGATTTTTGAAATTTTTTTCATTTCTAGGATATAATATGCAGTTTTTTATTTTTTTACTGTCTGACAATTTTATTCGCAAAAAAAATACAAACTTGCAATGCCTTTTATTGAAAATCATATTGCGATGCATTTTTCAATGGAAATCACCTTGAAATGTACTTTTCATTGGAGATCATCTTGCTAGGTGCTTTCTTTGAAATCACCATGCAAAGCACTTTAGTTTGAAATCATCTTGCAATGCGTTTTTACAGGAAATCATCTTGCGATGCGTTTTTACAGAAAATCATCTTGCAATGTGTTTTTACAATGCATTTTTATAGAAAAAGAACACTTACTTGCTTGTTTATTGCAATATTATTTTGAGCAAAAAAAAACTTTAAAATTAAGCTTTGTATCACGCTTTTTTAAGAACAAGTAGCTACAACAAAAACATAAATTAATTTTAAAACAGAATAAATTTTCAAACTTCAAGCAGATGATATAACTGCCACGTACTATGATTGTTGAAAACTAAAAAAGAAAAATATAGATCTTTGGAACGTTGTAATACTAAGGACGACATTTAGTTCAGTTAGAAAGCAGTGAATGTATAAAGACAATAAGTGTGGTTAACACACTGAAACAACCAAAATAAGCTGTTTTGTCATTCTTTTGTTGATATTTGTCAAGATCGTTTTTGAACTAGTTTAAGAATTGACCACCTCGTCCAGTAAACCATTACACGTGGTTGCGAATTGATTATGCAAATAGTTTTGTCTAGAAGCACTTTTATCAAACTTTGCCAGTATCTAAATTTGTGTTTGCGTGTTTGAATCTGATTTTTTCGAATATCTAATTGCTGTAAGGATCTGTAATCTGTCAAGGTTATATTTATATTATTTATTTTATTGATTATTTTAAAATTTTGTATTAAGTCTAATTGTCAAGTTGAAAGTTGTGTTAAATTTTTATATGTCATGTTTTTAAGAGAGGAAATAATCTTAGTTGCTTTACTCATTCCAATATAGATATATCTTCTTTTAGATAAGGAGACCATATTCTTTTATACCGTATTCAAGATGTAGACGGGCAATTATAGTATAAAGAACCTTAAACATCTCTTTATCAATATAACTAAAGGTTTTCTTTAGCATACCTTGGTTTGCTTTATACGCAGAGCTAGTTGCGTGTTATTTCCACATAACATTAGTCAAGAAACTGATGCCTAGATCTTTCTTATACATAGACCTTTCCAAAGTTGTTATATTGTCATTATTCGAATTGGGTATGAAATAATTGTGATTTGGATTGTTTTTCCTAATATGCATGATGACACTTTTTACCTTTAAGCTTAAGAAGTCATTTTTTGGACCATCAAATGTTCCTATAAGGTCATCTTGAAGAGCTAGTATAGAGTTTTTTTGTAAATTTGATTAATATATTAGTATTATCAGCAAATAGTTAAAATGTTAAGCTTTTTGGCCATTGATTTAAATGACAAAAAGAAACGAACCTAAAACAGAATTTTTTTGAATACCACTAAAATGTCTTCTTAATCTGACTCAAGTTCGCTACTCTTTGTTTTCTATGTTCATAAGAATGATGTAATCCACTAGACAAGACGATTATTGATACAATATAATTATTATCTGTATAAGTATTTTAGTTTAACGTTCCTTAATAACTGTGCCCCGATCATTAATATTGCGTTACACATATTTCATACATCTGCTTTGTATCATTAATACGTCAGATATGATGGCAGATACATCTCTTTTATGCTATTTTTGGCAATTCAATCATTTCACTGCATAAACAAAAATTTGATTTCAAAAAACAAATGTTTTTTTTTTTTTATTGTTGTTAATACTGTTAATCGTTGAATATTTAGGGGGTGATAATAAAATTTAATTAATATTATGAAAAATATTTAGGGGGGTGAACATAAAATTCTAGAAGAATGCAATCTTCCGTTAACTGGTAAAAAGTGTGTTGATATGATCATTACTGAAAAGGTGCGTAGTTTTTTTCACTTAATCAATTTACCAATCAAAAATTGCGTAATTTTATTAATAAACTGAAACGATATTTTTTTTTTATTTCAGTGTGTTTTTAATGTTGACCCAGATGAAGGACTAATACTTTCCGAAATATGGCCGACAGTTGGAATACCTGAAGTTCAAGTCTCAACAGGCTGTCAATTTAAAATTGCTGCTGATCTCAAAGAAATGATGCAAATAGAATAGAGCTTTGTTAGATTTAAGAGCTTAATTATGCAAATTTATGTTAAGTCGCGTCATTTAAATGATTTGATAATAATAAAATTTTTGTAATGACTTTTTAAGTCAAGGTGCTTTGAGTACCTTTTTTAAATGTTTTATACGTTTTTCTGGATACACTCATATATTGAATCGTTTTATACAATTTACTGTAAACACTTATGTAGAGAATAACTGATTTATATATTTTGTAGTATACATAAGGCATCCAGCATTTAACAGAAGATTTTCAAAGGACCGGGTAAAATGAGTTTGAGACCACAAAATCATTAATTTTGGGTTCCCTTAAATTATTTTTTTTTTTTTTTTTTTTTCCAAATTATAAACCAGTCATGTTTATTAAAGTTTGTTTGAAAATCTTAGTCCCAACGCTGTTTTTCGATAGCAAACTGGCTATTATTTGATCGTTGACATAGTTAACAAAAATTATTAATCACGAAACGATCAGCGGTGACAGGGTGTCTTTTAAATCATGTAAAAGTCAGGGAATTTAAATATCTTCAAAAAAAATCAGGAAAATTTGGTTAAATCTTAGAAAAACCAGGGGAAAATTAGGGTTTTTATTACTTATCTTATTTTAGAAGCTCTTTTATTATGAGTTTTTTTTTAATACACAATTTAACTCTGAGAAAAGTAGTTTTTTTTTGTTTGTTTTTTTTTGAGCTTGATTATTAGCTCGTAACTAACTAAGTATGTTGTTTGTTTAAATCAACTTGTTTCTCCGCGCAGCAGCCAGGTTCGTGTTTCGGAGTTATAAAGTTGAGAGAGGGTTATAACCACAATTAAGTAGCCTCCTCGTCTGTAGTGGCCTTCCCAACCTTAAGAGGTGAATTAATTTAAAAAAAAAAACTAACTATTTGATGTTATTAGTTGTTTTTATTTTCTTTAGACTAGAACAAGTTTAAGTAAATTAAATAATGAACTTAACATATTTTGATGATCAGTGGTTACAAATAGTAGAATATAAAGCTTGGTTAATGTGTGGGGATACAAATACCTCAGCAAATTGTAGAGTTTGTCTACATCCAAGAAATATAATTGAACTGCTTAATATGGGCCAGAGAGTGTTTCAAGTCATTCAAGAGGAAAGAAGCATTGTGAACGTCTGTTTCTTCACATAAAAACGACATTTATCAATGTGTCAAAAAATGTACGTTGTAACAACCACTTATTCAAAAAACACAGTTCAAGTTCCCACTCTTCAGTCATAGGTTGTGTTAGATTCAGTCATTGATTCAGAGATCAGATGAACATTTAAAAATGTTTTGTCATCATTTTCTTTTCGTTCCAGTGACGGATATTCGATTTTGTTTAAATCAATGTGTCCTGACAGTGCTATAGCTGAAAAGTTCTTTTCAAAAAGACAACTACTCATACATAAATTTTGGAATAGCTCCTCATTTTCTATCAGTTCTTATTAAAATATAGATAAGTCATACTTTTATGCTGTTTCTTTGGATGAAAGTTATTATTCAGATAGATCTTGTTAATTATTGGGATAGTGTTTTAAACCGTGTTTGTACTCGTTATCTTGACTCGACCTTTATTGGAGATAGTCGAAGTAGAGATCTTTTGCATAATTTTATATTAGGTTTGAAATCTTTTAATAAAACCAAATCTATTCAAGTACCTATGGATGGCCCAAGTGCAAATTGGACTTGCTACTCTGAGTTACAAAATTATCGTGCCAAAAATGACATTAACAAACTAATCTCGACTGGATCTTGTGGTCTTCATTTGATTCATCTTCATTCAAAACTGGGGAAATTAAAACAGACTGGAGTATTAAAAAGATTTCAAAAGCTCTTTACAAACTTCTCCATGATTCTCCTGCCAGACGGGAAGACTTTACTGTTGTAATAAATAAATCTTTAAAACAATAAAGCCATATATAAATAGTAAGAGTCCTAAAAATGACGATGACACAAATAATCCTTTTTGTGGTACTCGATAGGTTGATGATGAATAAGTGGCTTTAAGAGCTGTTAATATTTGGGGGAGCATTTGTAAAATATGTAGGTTTTGGGAATCTTTACCAAAGAGTAAGCAGCTTTCGTGCATGAGCTACCAAATTGTTTTATCAGCTACTAAGGATCTTCTTTTATTTTATTTCTTTGCTCATATAGCTCATATTATGCAATCTTTTTTAACCATATATCAATATGTTAAATCTATGATGCCATTTTTATATGACGACCTTTATCGACTATTAAAAGACATAATGTCAGAGTTCATTACAGCTGATATTTTAAATCAATGTAAAACTGCAAATAGCCTCTGCAAATTGGATTTTAGAAAAGAAAGAAGCTATTTAAAAAAGCCAGATATTTGTTGTGGTGTCAGCACTGTTATAAAGAATTAAAAAAATGAATGATGAAATCACTCCAAAAGATATGCTTTCAACTACAGTTGCTTATGTTTTCTACTAGTGTCGACATGTAAGTTCGTGGAAAAATTGTCTTTAAAATATGCCCTTGTGCGAAATCTAAAATGCTTTGAATCAGAAATAATGTGCAATGAAAAAATTGCAAAGGAAAAAATAAATGATTTGGTTAATAACTTGATTCAATTGCATTGAGTTACCCCAAAAGGTGGGAATGAGGTAAATACTGAATTCAAGAGATATTTAGAAAAGACCGTCTCTAAAAATAGGGAACTTTTCCCGAATTTTAATAAAATAGATGATAGATTGGATGAGTTTCTTTTTTCTAAAGTTGGTGGTTTAGATGATTATCCCGCACTGTCCAAATTAATTAAAATGTTGTTGACTCTTTTTCATGGTCAAGCATCGGTTGAAAAAAGGTTTAACATTAACAAGAATATGTTGCAACCAAATTTAATGAGCAAATTGTTAGTAAGCCAGAGAAATGTGTATGACCATATGAAAGCTTTTGACTTAAACTCGGAATCTAGAGTTATCTCTAAGAAATTGAGAAAATCTTTTAAAAAATCACGGAGTCAACAAAAGATTGAAATGGCTGCTCGAAAAGAAATTGAGCTTACAGATGCTCGAAAGCGAAAAAGTGACTTACTTGCTAAAGACATGAAGGATTTGCAATCTAAAAAGATTATTCTGGAAAAATTTAGAAAAACACTAAAAAGTGATTCAGAAGCAAATTCTTGTGAAAGCATCAAATAATGCTGAAAAAGCTCATACTTATGCTATTAAAGCAAAAGTTATACTTGAAGAGAGGAAAAAGAAGAAAGAAGATATTAAAAAATTAGATGAAGCAATTGATTTATTATTTAAGAAAAGAAAAGAACTTTGAAATTTTAAATATTAGTTTATTATTATATACAGTAAAATCTAATTTTATACAGATATTTAAAAGATATTTAAAAGTATATTATATAAATTATTATTTATTTTTGAAAAGATTTTTAATATTTATGTGGCAATACTTTTTCAGTCTTTTAAACAAGAAATAAAAATTTTGTTTAAACTTCTATCATTCTTTCAGTATTATTTTTTCCGAACCATTTGGTATATGTCTATTTTTCATCTTTAAAGTATATGTTAATTTTAGCCTTATATTTTACTTTTACATTACTCGTGTAATTTAGTTTATTTTGTTCTGAATGCTATTTATCAAAACAATTTTTAGAGTCAATAAAAACATTTTTACATTTTACTTTGATTAAATTTTAAATGTACTTTAATAACAATAGTAACAATGACAACATACTAACAATACTTTGATAAATGTAATAATGATGCTTTATTTTAAACTGTACATGATTTTTCCATGTATTATTCCCCAAGCCTGAAAAAGCTTTAATAAGAACTGAAATAAAAATGAAATAACTAAAATAATAACGAAATAACTGAAATAAAAAATAATGTAATGACTGAAACTACTATATAATAAAAATAACTGAAATAAAAATCAGAAAAAAGAGGTTGACAATCAGGGAAAAGAGATCCACGATCAGGGAAAAGTCAAGGAAATCGACTTTGGCAGACACCCTGGGTTAATCCTACAAATTCTTTTGATAACGATTAATTAAAACACACGGGTAATGTTTAATTAAACTATTCATAAATAATTATTTAGGTATTAGCTTGAAAATTTTATTGACTACACTTTTTTCATTAAGATTAATTTATCTTTAATGGTCTATAACAGACAATTTTTAACTTTTAAAAGTCGTATATATTAACGACTCTGATTTCCAACCGACAACTTTTGCATTTTCATATATTGAATATATCGATGATCGATATATCGAATATATCGAATTATAACATGAACTATTATTCTTTTATATTTTTCAACTTATTGAAACTTGTTGACTAAATGTTTCAACTTATTGTATTTACGATTGACTTAATTTACAATCTACTACACTTTTGATCGACTTTTTGATGAATTACGCCTACTCCAGTATGTATTTTGCAAAATATCCAATTGCGTATTTTTTAAATTTATAAGTATAACGTTTAAAATAACGAATAACGAGTTTTCTTTAAAAGAGTGCCTGCCCTGACCAAAATCCTTAGTCGATGTATGTACACGCAGCTGTGCCTATAGAGCAAACAATTTTAAAAACGTTCAAAATACAGACTTGTCGGTTGTAATAGATATCATTTATAATCGGTTAAAAATTGCATTTTTTGATATTGTTTAAAAATGAAAAATAAATCAATCAATAATAAAAGACTATAATTGGTTGAAAACAATTTAGGACTTATAGGACATCTGAATTTTTTTTTTTTAATAAATCTTTTTTTTTTTTCTAGAATTTCACAAAAGTAGGTTCAAGATATACTTTTCTATTATCAAAATTAGATTTAATAAGAAAAATTCAGTGTTTATTAACAATAGATTTAAGCATAAATCCACACACACACAAAAACAAAACATTACATGTTTAAAACGTTTAAAAGTTAAAAAACTCATGTTAAAAAGTATAAAGTTTATTAATTTCTTTTACATAAACAAAATATAATTTTTTTTTCAATTCTATATTTGATAAAACAATGCAAAAAGTTTGTTAAATTCAAAACTAAAACTATAAATATATTTATAACTGCCCTCAACAGACAATCTAACTTTGATCTATTTGAAAAATATCTGAAACAAATGTTACCAAAAATCATAAAAAAGACATTAACATTCGGATTATGACTGGAAATATTTTTGCATAATTTTGTTTCTTCTGTTGTCACAAATAATGAACTTTTG